CTTGTCCAAGAGCTGCAGTCTCAGAGGGACGCACGATACACCACCTCACACTAAAAAAAATCCCACCAAGGACAGATGATGTCTTAAATTTAATCCAAATTCTTGGATAGAGGTCAACCTTGCTAAGCCAAAAGATGTATGTAACTAAAAAGGCAATTTTTGCATACTGCATAATAAATAAAACACATGACCTAAACAGCGACATTTACAAAATGTTTTTTATTATTTTAGCTTATGAAGTCTTACAACATTGATGGTAAAAAAAAAAAAAAGAAAAAAGGATTTGGTTTAAAGAGATGAGGTAAAATGCTGCAATGACAAGATTTTTATTTGCTCTGTGTAACATAAGGTAGAGCTCCTCCTCCCCCACCTGTTACTGCTTGCTGTCACCCAGCTAACCAAAGCTAACTTGTTGGTTGGAAACATAAAAAAAAATAATGTTCTTAATACTAGAAGAGCATGTATATCAACAGTGCTATAGGCATTCTGCTTATCTTAGTTGAGTAATCAGAATGCAACATTGCATTCTGAGTACTCAGAATGCAATGTTGCATTATATATATATATATATATATATATATATATATATATAAAATATGGGAAATTATATATTCCATTTTTATATTTCAGAAGTTTAGTAATTTCACATTACTGATATGTGGGCTTATGTCTTTAACTGTTTTTATAGTTACAGTGACAACAAATCTTTTATTCTGCTCAAACTCTGCTTCTAAGTAATATATTTTTGAGTGGATGGACTCACTTTTAAAGCCGCTCCTGATATACAGCTGAAACCACATACTTACAAATGCTGCATAAAAACACACATCACCATGTTTCTTTTTACAATCTGATCTTAAATCAAATTTTAGTCCGCTCCTCCAGACAGAATTAGTGTAACTGAGTCAGGCAGTAAACTTTCTAGGGAACTGAGATCAAGACTTTGTGATGGCCACCCCTAAACATTGACATGTTTGGCCCAAACCACTTTGTAAGTAATTTTGCGGTATGCTTAAGTTTTATTTGGAAAAACTGTTTGTGCCTTGTGTCCAAGGTTAAACTTCCTATCTAATGTCTTAAAATGATTTTTCAGTATTTCCACAAATGATTCTGGCCTCATGATGTCTATTTTGTGAAGTATTTCAGTCCATCCGGCAGGAAATTACTCCCTCAACATGATGCTGTCACCCCTTGTACTTTGGAGTTGGGATGGTGTTTTCAGGCTTGCAAGCTTCTCCTTTTCCCTCCAAATGTACCAGTGGTCATTATGGCCAAACATGTCAAGTTTAGTTTTATCAGACTACATGCTGGTTACGCCATACTTGCATGTAAATCTTTAGGCTTCTGGAAATTACATACATGAGAATGAGTTAAATCTGTGAGGGTGAACAGTTCTCTTCTTAATAACCTCACTGATTTCTTCAGAGTTTTGATAATGTCGTAGGAGGAAGCAGTGTATTTGAGTTGTGGCCTTAAAAAGAGCATCCTCAGGTGTTCCTTCATTTATCTCAAAGGCGGTAAATCAAGGAGAAGCTTGCAAAGCCATAAGATTATCTGGGATTTCACAAGTTGTTTAAAGACATGTTAATCTTAGTGCATTAAATTTGAAGAAAGTAAGCCTTGGAAAGTAAATCCCTAAAATAAATGTCTCAGTAATCATCAAATGCATATAGTGGGTGCGGTCACATCCGAGCTACAGGAGAAAACATTCAATCTTGATATTAAGCAGTGAGTGAACTATACACCCATCACAACATTATGTTCAGGGCTGGGCCAAGATTGTTTTGGGGCTTCAGAAGAATTTGATGTGGGGCACCTTTTGCTGTGAAGAACAGAAATGAGGAATCTGGGTGAGAAGGTCAAGTGTAATTAGCTTAGCTTAAAACCAGCTGTGGATAACTGATTGTTTGCTGGGGAGTAGTCGAGAACAAACCGAGCTCAAACACACATTTAAAACAATTCTTTCATCGATCATAATACGCAAGAATCTTAACAGACAATCCAAATTCTTTGTCAGACATTTTAACCATGCAGCAAGACGGAGAAGGACAGAAAAAGCAAATGAGGTGGATTAGCAGTGCTTGTTCTTAATAGTGTCATCCAGGAAATGGGGAATATATTTACCTCTGACCAGGATGTTGATCTGTTATGTCGTGAGTCCTCAAACTGTCACACAGCAACAATCTTGAGTCTTAAGTCTTCAGTCTTAAAAAAAACTGACTGATACCAGAAATTCTTATTGCCCACAGTATCTCCATCCACAACAACCCTGAAAATGTTTGGTTGATATGAGTTATGGCAACATTTATTTTCTCTTTAGAACAAATAAAATATCTTTCAATTGAAGGGAATTATGCCTTGGGTTGGCTCTGATATTATGTTTTCCTAATATTGGGGATTCAAAGTTTTAAAGGACAAATTGCACCGTGTTTCTTAAACATGAACTAATGGTCGAACTAAGCAACTATTGGTTGAATAAAAAAAATCTGTGCATGAACAGTAACTTGCCCATTCTTTCGCATCGCACGAGCTTTTTGTAATCCCCAGTACCACTACCACTGACCACTGCAAACATCCCGTAAATCCTTCTTGTCAGTTCAGACAAGACGGCACAAAGAACAGACTTCTCAGCTTTCTTTCTTTCTTTTTGGGGTGGGTTGGAGTTTTTGAAGTTTCCTGCTGTGCTGTGGGTTCTTCCCAGCATAACTAAGACGCTGAAAGCAGCTTATCTGCTTAAAACAGGAAACGGAGAACTTGCGGCGGGTGGGAAAAAAAATAAAAAAATAAAAAAAGGTGTCTGAGTCCTCGTCTATTTCCTGGTTCACAGAGAGGGCTTATTGAAGGAACTTGTTTCTTCCACTAGAGTCTCTCTCCACCATCCCCAGTCGTCTAATACATTTAGGCCCCCGCTTCCTCCATTGGTTTTGATAGGCCAGGCGTCCAAATTTCCTCCGCAGGACTCGGGTAAAATCAATAATCCTCAGTTGAGTGCAGAAGGAAAACCCTATATTAACAAGACAATGTGATTAGAGCAATAGGAGTGTGAAGTGGGCTATGGGCATGGTAGTTATTCTGCCTTCTACATATGAATGCTGTTGAATTTGAGCATTATCATTCTTCCTGAGTCAGGTTTGTGGCACCAGGTATTACTTTTAAAAAAATGGTACCTCCTCCTGATTATCTCCTTTCCATTTTTATTAAGTTGGACCTTTCCCTTTGGATGCTTTTCTACCAAACAAGCCAAATGCTAATGTCATTGAAACCCCAGGTGCTTCTAGTGGCTCTTGAAGTTTGACATCAGTCCCTGCTACCTTCCTCCCCTGAGCCCAATTTTCCCTGCATGAAGCTTCAAGGTCCTCAGCTGAGCTCTCTGTTTAGCAACAACAGCCGTACAACAGTGCGAATGTGTGTCAGACAGAATGGTAATGAGTATCCGTGAGACCCAACCCCGATCTCTCCCCCCCTCCTTTCTGTCTGAAAATAGATTTGTTCCTACATGCAAAACGGATATTGTAATCACATTTTCTTGTCCCTGATCCACCTGGGGATTTGTACCGTGCACACCAAAAATGTAAATGAATGCAGCGAGATAGACATCACTGGTGATAAATCACATTACCTCCAAATTCTGCTTAAGAACACAACCAGACTGCACAGTAAGCAACACCGATGGTAGTATATTAGCTCACCAGTTAGCCATTTCCCTCACTGTACATCTTGTTCTACTTAATTTATCCTATTTCTTTTTGGTTTGCGTTATTGTGCATTTACAAGAAAGCAGTGTTGTGCTTTTGGGAGAAAGTGGACAGAAAAGAGGCCAGTGCTGTAAAAGGTCAATAGAATACATTTAGAATTTAACCACCAGAAATTTTCTGATGGATTTCCAGTCTTTGCTAAAGAGGATTTGTTATTGTGGTAAAATTTGTATCGGCTGGTCAGAGCCCAACAAAATCAAATATTAACAACGACGACAACAAAAACCCCTCACATTTTGGACAGATTGAAAATGCAACTGAATGAACAATGACATGTTTATAGTGAACTAAAAGTATGATTTGCTATGTTTCATAAAATAAATGCACTCTTGGATTTATATCAGTAATCCCAGTTTTATTTTATCCTTGACCTTAGGTATAAATATTCCCATTCTTTAAAACAGGAAATGCCGCTAAAATGAGGCAGATGTACATTGATCTCCCAATATACAAGAAATATGCTCTTCAACTTGCTCAGATGTGCAGTCAGAGCAATAATTAAAACATTTGAAACAACTGGAACGCTACTAGTCCTCATAAAATTTCCTGTAAATCATAGAAGTGATTACCATGTTGCTGTGACTTAATTAACGCATTGCCAAAGGGACTATTCTTGGCCAACCAGTTATTCTCTTGTTGTGGCACTGTGGAGTTTTTGCGGGGCACATAGTCCATGAGTTTATTCCGGCTTTGGTTCTGTGAATTGAATGTCCGCAGTTAGACTAACAAGCTTTGGGAGAAGCAGGAAATCCAAGCACACAGGGTGAGATAATAAATTATCTTGGAGACTTATGGGAGAAGGAGTACTTTTGTGTGCATTTGTTTGAGCACATTTGTTTGCTCAGTGTGGTTATATAACACTGCGAAGAAAAAAAAAAAGACTTACTGGTAATAGATGAGGTTCCTGCTTGCGCCCTTTTTGCCTCCACCCTTAAAATGTTGAAAAAGCGACAGATATTAATGCAAGTTGGACACACGTAGGATCCTCAAGGGAAACTATCTAAGATGTTTCATGTCCTCCTCCTTGTCACCCCCGCTTCTGACAGGGACTGCACCTAACCCCCGAGTCTGTATAATGCTAGCAGACCGTCATTTTTCAACAGAACTTGTGACAACCTCCTCCTTGCATTAAAGTTTGGCTTTCTGTACGTTGTAATTTGCTGACATTTCTTTTTTCTTTCTCTTTCTCTCCTTCTTATCCCCACTGCCCACCCTTCCTTTGTTCCACCAACACCGCGCTCACAGATGTTACCAACTGTTCCACACTAGGTAAGTCATTTTATTTTTCATAGCACAGTCCTCCAGAGTGAGTTGTCTTGTTATTTTGGGAGTGATGCAAATGCATAAATATGGTAGAGAATTACACAGGAGTTGGAGCTGAGGCGACTCAGAGATGCTGCTGTTTGCCTGGTTAAGATATTCAGTTTTCTGCAATCTTCAGCTATCCTAGTTCCCCCCGCCCCCTCACACACACGTGAGAATACACATTTTGAGCTGTGTACCTTCAATTTGAATTGTATTCAAATGAGAATCAAATAGCCCAGATGGTTCAAAGAACACGTCAGCAATGTTGTCTTAAACAGACATGGTGTTTGTTTTCACACTGTGGAGAGTGGGCGGAAGTTTAAACCCAATCGTACCATTCACTATGCACACATCATCAAACCTATAGAACATTCAACGGTGTTCGTATGAGAGCTGTATAATATATTTAATTGGATTTGGAATTGCAGTCGATGTTTGAAATATCGCAATGGCAAAAGACCGTTTGGATGTCGTACCTTGGTAGGTGTTTGCACTCTGCATGTTGAAAACAGATTGGACAAGTTGATTGGACTCTCTGAAGACTGAAATACAAAACCTCTCAAATAATGGGGCAAATATGTTGATAATGGAGAAGGACATCATTAGTATGAGAATTTTAATCACTATGGACGTTGTCATCTCTCTACTTTATAGAAATCTTACTCTTCATATTGCCATCTATTCAAATCTTCTGTATGACATTATATAGTGCTATAAAAGTAATGAACCCCTTAGAGATTTCTTCTATTTCCAGTGGTGTTTCAAAATAAGCAGTGTCGATGTCATGAAAAGAGAATCGGAATAAATAGTTTTTCAAATGGCAATTTAATTTATGAAGAGAAACAAGCTATTGAATTTATTTTTTTTAGCATTTTATTTTAACTATGATTAACAACATTTTTGGAATAATTTTAGTTTCGCCAACCAAAACAAGACCTTGTTACTGCCGGATGCGCAAAAATGATTTGTAAAGCACATTTCAGGAACGAGGCAGTTCAAGGTACTTTACGTCATGAAGTCACAAAAGTCATAGAAACACAGTCAAATATTGAAACATTGCATTGTGTCGATGAATTTCAAAATGTTGATTGTTTCATTAATGATATTTCCAGTGTTGTTGGTCTGCATGAGCCAGTTCTCCATATGGACTGGACAGTGGAGCATTGGACGGCGAACTATTAGAAATGCTGGGTCGTACAGATAGGAGCTTGGTATTGCCAGCCATGAATGGAAGTTGTCTGAGGTTATATCTCAAAAAGGTTTGAGCCGCGATTTGATTCAAAAATAGCACAGATCAGAATATTTGTATTTTTTATTTTTTATTTTTTTTTTTAAATCAAATTAATGCTGTCAGGTTTCTTGATTAAGATGCATTGTGGACTGTAGCGGGTTCATCCTGAAAAGGTTGTCAGTCAATCGCAGGCTCAAGATTGACAGACCATTGTCCCACTCATCACATGAAGTGCACTCAGATGGACCTTAGTCAACAATGAGGCTACAGCACAAGAAATTTTATTATGTGGGCATTTTTGAGTATATTGCCTGAAATTGAGATGGAAGATTTTAGAAAGCCAATGATTCTACGGTGCAGCCCAAATGGTTTACCTTAGTGGTTCTTTTTTTTTTTTTTCCCCAGCTCCCTTCTCCTCTCCCATTTACAGTAACCAGAAAAGAAAATGCAGCCTCTTTCTTTATACCTTTAAAAGAAAAACAAATGTCTTGGTGTGTTATAAACGGTGTTGCTTTTATTGAGAAGAACAACCTTCATTTTTACTGAACTGGAAACTTGAACAAAAATTGTTGAAATGAATTAGATCTGTTTTTTTAAAGTCTTCTCAATATTGGAATAAAAAAAATGAAAAACAATAGCCTGCTGAGGATAAAACGTATAAAAGGAGTTTTAGTGTGGAGGAAAAAAAACCCTATTCTGTAAAAAAAAAAAAAAAAAAAATCGTCTGGATTACAACTAAGAGGCTAAGAAGCACATGAGCTCACAAAAGCACAAGAGCGAGGCCACAGGAGGATGACGGTCACCCTTGGCTTTATCTGAGACAGATGACAGCAAAGCCTGTATTGGAGCAAACGCTCCTGCACTCAGATCAGATGATCAGCAGGGAGACGGATCTGCAGATGGACGGAGGTTGTTTTGTAAAGGGCAGAACACACTGGGGGTGAATGATGCAAGGGGGGAAAAAAAACAACAACAAAAAAACACACCTCCTTTAATTTATGTTTACCAAGCCTAAACTGGCAGCTGCAGCAGACTGCAGCTCTGTGGAGTGGCCTTCTGATTCTTCATCGCCTTTGTGCAAATATTACAGGCCACTCCTAATTTCATTTTTTTTCTAATATGAAACATGTTTTTTTTTTTTTTTTATCTTCTTAAACAATCATGACAGATTTTATTTTATTTCCCCCCCCAGCCTGTCAAAGCTGTTCACATTCCCCACCTCACCCAGCTGGACCACTGTCGACCTCCTGCTGCTGTAATTTCTGCTGTGAGTATGAGGTAATCCTTCCCCAACAAAGCACATACGCCTGCTATTGTTAAAAAAGAAATGATTAGCGCCTCTTTGACTCAAGTGAGGAAGAACACACATTGACGTGGAGAATCAGGTGAACGGAGGGGATCGTGACTCAAGCAACTAGAAAAAGAGGATTGAACTAATCCCTGGGCCCAGATACAGAAAAGTGGATATAAACGAAACATTGTTCATCTGAGTTTTAATACACGCATGTAAAATACACATAATACACATTTTGTCACTTTACAAGCGCAAACTCAAGTGACTTTTATTGGGAACATCTGTAGTAAGAATACTAATATGGGGACTTCTGAAAATCATTTGTTGAACTGGATTTTTGTTTAGGGGCATCATGTAAAAGGGGAGGTACACTGAGGAATGCAACACAAATAATTTCCTTCTTTTTCCACTATAATGCACCACAAGAATTCTCGGTGACTCAAAACTAAATAGCAGTGTAGCAGGGAATGGTGTTTTGTCTGTAGCTGTTATTGATGCGGCCGGACCCACAAAAATAACGCAAAAACTCTTTGTCATTTTACTTATTTTGGTCACGATCCCCTGCGCTTGCTGGAGTCCATACTTTGATGCATTTTCTTGCTCGCTTGACTCAAACAGACCCTAATCGCTTCTTCTTCTTCTTCACAGTAGTAGACATCTGTGCTTTGTTGTGGAAAGATTACATCACACTCAAAGCAGAAATTACGGCTGCCGTAACCTTAGAAGGCTAACAGCGGTCCATCCGGGTTAGACGGAATATGTGAAACCGAAAAGGGAGTGCAGAATCCTTTGTTTTCTCAGAGTGTTTTCAGAAATGCTCAGTGGGTGGCGGGAGAGGGATAGAGGTTATAACGGCATGACTGAATCCACGGTAGCGGGGTGTCGGAACAGGACATGCAGCGCACCGGCGGTTCTAAGCATCTGCTCATGGGAAAAATCAATCGCCTAATTTCCAAGGTGAAGCTGGCGGATTTTACGTGGAGAGAAAAAAAAAAAAAGATCCAATTCTAAAAATGTGTTGCATCTCAAATGCATCTTTCTCTCTCTGAGAGCATCCAGATATCTCTTATGGTGTAATTGAAAACTCAGTGCCATGCCACTACAACCAGAACAGTTTGGCCGGTGAAGCATCTGCGAGCAGTTCTGGATCTGGCTCGACTCTTTTGAGGCAGGCGCTGGCAGGCTGATTAAAAAAAAAAAGTAGGAAAAAAAAAAAGAACACCCCTGGCTAGCTGAGAATAATAAGTACCCATGGGAAGCTGCCAGATGGACATTTACTGTGAGCCTAGCTGGAGAGGGAGGAATCTGTCAAACATCACACCGGGCATCTGTGGGGGGGGGGGGGCAGCGCAAGTTCACGTCCACTACAGTGTGTCGGATGAGAGAAGGGCTCTTTGTCGAGACTAAAAGCTGTTGAAATTTTTTTTTTTTTTGAAATATCACATCTAGTTGATGCATTTACCTGCTTTTCAAGGTCAGCAATTCGCATTGCATTAAAGCGCAGCAGTTAGAGTGAGAGCTTTAAATAATGTCCGGATAATGGATGCTGGAAAGATGTTTATCGCCTTTTTCCTCCCTGGACTCAAATGTTAGCCCAGTTTCCTGGCAGTCGCTGGCTGTTAATCAACACTTTACTTAATTTAAAGCTAGACTCAGCTGTGCCGCTCACAGGTGCTTCTCAGTAAATCGGACGACCATGGGAAACTTTGAATTCAGTAATTTAATTCAGAGTATCTCTACAAACATAACGATGCATTTCAGGTTCTATGTTAATTTCCATCATTTTATGTTACAACTAATAAAACCCCCAAATTTAATTTCTCAGAAAATTAAAAAAATAAAATAAAATGTTTCTGCAATATGTGACTCGCAGCCCAGGGCGTCCTTCCATGTGAGAGTAGCACAAAACTAAAATAATATTTTTTTGCTTTGTTTTGTTTTGCATTTTTGTAAGTATATATGGGCTAAAATTGAGCATGTCTTGCCCCCAATAATAATAATAATAATAATAATAAAAACAGGAGAATAAGAACTGAATTGGGTTGCTCAACATTTTTTCTCTACACAAAAACAAGAGCATGTGTTTTTGTGTGTTTGCCCCTTAGACCTCCAAATTTTCGAACTGGACAAATATGATCTGATTATGCAGCAGCGATCACTAAAGCTTTAAAACACACTTTTTAATATGTGAAATCTTCACTATATTTAAAAAAATAAAATAAAATCATCTCAGATGGAGGAGGACCATCCATATCCATTGGTCTACTGTATACCTGCTTCTGACTGGAGGTTCACCGTGAGACTTGCACCCATCTGCAGCAGTTATTGGATAAGAGTTGGGATACACGCTGGACTGGTCACCAGTGCATCACAGGGCAAAGAAACACCACTTTACTGGAACCCCAGTTATTAATTTACTAGACTCAAATAGCTATGGCATGCTCAGGAGGGAATTAAGTCATTTGGTTCAGATGCGTAGGACTATATACACATTGGAATGCAGCAGTATTTTGTGCTCAAGGACTGTAGTTTGAAACCCCGGCCTTTTCCATTCAGTGGGGTGCCTGTCGACATACAGGAGGGATAAGCCACAGAAGTTCATTGCTGAAGAAGCTGGCTGCTCAGAGTGTTGTATCCCAGTATATAATTGGAAAGCTGAAGTGTGGAAAAAGTGTGGTAGAAAAAGGTTCAAAAGCAGCCTTGAGAGGATTGTGAAGGGAAGTCCATTCAAAGTACTTGTCAGTAAGCTGAAATTTCAGTATTAAAAATCTTTTTTTTTCTTTGTGCATGTTATGCTTATGCAATACTCTAATTTTCGGAGATGCTGAATTTTGGTCCTTTTTTTTATACGTCAGTCGTCAAACATCAAAATGGAGAGAAATACAAAATGATTAACTTTAACGTATGAAGATACAGTGTCTGTCGTGACGAAATTCAGGGTAATAATTCTTGGACACATGCCTGTCAAAAAAAAAAAAAAGAGGAAAAAAAGTATGCTCTACCTCCAATAATTATTGCAAGTGTTATCTTTTTGACTTCCAAGAAAGAGGTCCAGTCTATATATGTATTTTTCCCCCATCTTAGTTAGAAAGCTATAGGCGAGGAATTAAAATTGCCTTATTATGCCGACGGAGGCTCGAGGGTTTTTGAGAACGAACGAGAGAATAGGAGCACAAAGAGTTCATTTCAGCATTGTCAGCAGAGAAATAGGAGCTCGTTTCTCTTAGACAAGCTGTGCACCTGTTATGATTGCATTATGTCTGGCAGTCCTCCCTTCAAACAGCAATTGAGCCACACTTGATCAGTGATATGACACTGGCAGAGAGGAGAGGAGAAGAGAGTGATCGCTGGGCTGCTTAGTTAAGCAGATACCATTGTGCCGTCGAAATCCAAAAGTAGATCTGTGCTTGATAAAAGGCCAGCCTGGATGGAGTCCAAAACGCCAAGGGCTTTGTAATCCTGCATAGTGGATTCCTCTGAAACCTTCTTGCCTTCCCCTCGGAGGTTAAGAACAATATCCTCCATGGATGATGCAGCAGCACGTTGAAAGTCTCCATTTGGGCTTTCTCATGCAAAACTATGTTCAAAATATAAGAGAATAAATAAGATCATGGCGTTAAATTTTTAATCATTCCAGTTTGCGTGTCTCGGCTGTTCTGCTATTCACTGAAGGAATCCATAATTCAAAGATAATGTAGCAATGACCTCGTGTTTGCGGTTGGCATAAGATTTCTTGCAGCCATATCCTAAAATTATTAAAGTTTAAGCATAAAGAGTTCTGTGGTCGGTTTTTAATGTCTTCCCTCATTCCCCACACTCGGCTCGGAGGGTAGTTAAAAAGGCCTTTGAATGATGGCTCTGTAGTGTGACTTGCATATATTTCTAGGTAATGAGACTTGAGTGACACATCTTCAAATCTTCGCTTTTACAGTCATCTTTAGAAAAAATAAACAGTGCCACAAGTCATCCGTTGCTTGTTTTTTTTTTTTTTTTTTTTTTTTTTTTTTTTTTCTGTTTAGGCTTAAGTCTACGTGTTAGGACTTTTGCTGTAGAAGGTGGATTTTAACCCAACGGTGACCTATTTATGGTTTTCTGGGAGAGATTTAAGCTCCTGTTAAATAAAAATAAGTTTCTTATCTTGGTCTCATCTGACCAAACCCTATTTTTTTGAGAGAGTCACACTTGCAAGGCCAATACCTTCCTGTGGAATTTTGCTCGAGTCTCTTCTCCCTTCAGCGCTTCGTCTGGGATTTGCCCCATTTCATCCTGGCCAATCAGCAAACAGAACGGGGTGTGAACAGCGGAGAAGAATCTGCTTTTTGTTGTTGTTGTCCAACAGTATGATGATAAACCTTTGTAAAGAAGCGTTGGCATGCTTCCCTTTTATAATATATGAAAATTCAAAATAATAAAAGTGCACAGAGCACCAAGACACCGTTCAGTGTAGAAAGGGCTACAGCGACATGACTGACTTTTCAAAGGTCAGTCATGTGGTCCTTGATTTCACAGAAGCCAAAGTCTATTTGTCCAGCAGGATTCATAAGCATGGTAACATGAAGTGTTTCCAGAAAAATAAAATAACATTACCGTAGCACCTGCCTTAGGTGCCTTAGGAAAGAAGGCCTTCTTTCCTTATGGATCCATAACTGGATCCATAACTGGATCCAGTTATGGATCCAGTTCCATAACTGAACTGGATCGTTCAGTTATGTTGTGAACCCCCTTGTTGACTGTGGTGGTAGAAATGTCCTGTCTAGAAGGTGAAGTTACTCCATGAATCTGATTACAGTAAGCTTCTGAGCATATGCAAGAGGTATTTCATCATTGTTTTCTGCAAAAAAAAAAAAAAATAGTGAACCATTTTTTTTCTTATCATGGCATTTGTTTTTTCCTCACTTCACAATTGTATCAAATTAAAGGCTGAAATTTTCAATACAGTTCACTTTCAGATCTGACTACTTATAATACAAGATTAATTTACTTAAAGTTTTTTTTTGCCTAACACCATGCCAAGCCCATACAGATGCTGTGACGATACATCACACAACATTAGTTTGAGTAAACGGAGGTTTGGTTGACCCAGTGCGTTCAGGTGACAGGGGGCTGTTTTAGCGAACAGATGGCTTATCTTTAATTTTAGCAGCAGCGGCGTCAAACTACCAGAGCTCTATAAGTTTAGCTGGGGAGCGTTGCATTCATCAGTAACTAACAGCATATGGCGGTGGCACATTAAGGTGTCATTTGCTCTTTTTCCCTGGTTTATTTGCTATTGTACGAACTGTGCAGAAGCCAAGCATTAGATGCTCACTTCACAGGACAAAGTGTGTTTATTTGTTTGGTTGGGTGTTGGGCACTCGGCTTTAGATCCTTTGCTTTCTGTTTGATCAGCTTTTCAAAGAGCTGCAGTAATTTATTTGCTTATTTATTAATTATGATAGTGAGAGTTAGCTTAGACCCTGGCCTGCAACCACATACATGCCCATTATTTTTGGCATTTGCTGCTATTTTACTACTTTTTCAAAGCTGTTTGAAGTTTTGGTTAAACTTATTTATGTTTAATTGGGAGACAAGTGGAAAGGCAATTTATAAAACTGTTTCTGCGTCAGGAAGGGTGTTATTTCTCCTGTTTGTCGAACTGAAAATGTCCAGTACTGGCATTGTTCCTTGTCAACATTGGAAAAAGAAGCCTTATTAACAGATGTTCCACGTGTCTTATTGTTATTACTGGCCTAGCTGTCAATTAATGTCTTGATTCTGATTACTGACTAGCTTGGTCTGTTCAGTCCGTTTTTAAATCTGAGAGGACCGAATGCCTTGGGAAAAAATGCCCCTTTCTCATTTAGCTTTGTCACATTACAACCACAAACTTTGACATATTATTGTGGAACTGTAAGATAGAAAACCAAAACTTTTTTTTTTTTTTTGCCATTTCTTTAACTCATAGAAATCTGAAAAGTTTCTGTGCATACACTTCAGTAATGCACATTATGTCATAGGAGATACTGTAAAAGAAAAACACACCTATCCTCAGGCATGCAAAAAAAACAAAACAAAAAAAACAAAACAGTTTGTACACTTGTGTGTCTGGGAAACAAAAAGCCTAATTGTACCAGTTGTCTGCACTTTTTAACACCATGCCTAAAGGTTAGCCCTTATTTTAGAGTCACTGTTGTTCAGGAAGGAATTAATACTCTCTGATCACCTCCAGTGCTTTTTC